AGGGATACAAGTCATAACCAATAGGAATACTTTAGTCTTTAACTAAGAAGGATCCAATCCTGTAAACAGGGATATATGAAAGGGGTTTTAAAGAGATGTGAACACATTTTTTTTAATAAAAAAGAAGGTACTGTTACAGGTAGGAGTTGAGACCTAACATTGAATAATAATCTTCTTCACAACAATCTTCTTTTCATGGGACAGTTATTTCTAGAAAATATTGTTCAATCTTATGATATTTTTCAATTACTGAATTGTCTAAATAAAGTATATAGAAAAAAAAGAATCTGCTTCTTACTTTATAAGATGCAATGTAAATTTCACACATTTAGTAGCCACTAGCCAGGACTTCATACAATTTGTTAAAAAGTAATGAGGTTTTCTCAGAAACTCAGCAATAATTGGACAAAAGCGGAATTTAGCAATATTGTATAAATTTGTAAAGCAATTAGTTCAACTTCAATTGCTTTCAAAATAATTATTGTGAAAATGATTTGCATTTAATGGTTTTTACTTAGGACATCTATGACAATACATAATTTTGTTTTATTAAACAGTAGCAAACTTAAACATAATGAAAAACAAAACTGTTTTATGACAAGGTCTTTATGTTCTTTTATCCATATGTATATCTGATCAAAGTATAGAAGATCTGATTAAAATCCTTTTAAGCAAAAATTATTCAGTGATTTATAAAGAAAAAGTTTAATAAGACCAACTTAACTGTTTTTGGTGTAAATTGACCAATTTATTCAGAATAATCTGTTTAAAGTTAAAGTATTCCATGCATCAAAATATGTGACATAAGGTGCTTGAAATTAATTAACTTTAGCAGTATTATTAAGTTGTTCCTTTCACCCTTTAAGAATGCATTAAAGTCTGTTGGGTTTATAAACAGATTAATAATCGGAGTTTTCCAATAAATGAAATGCGACATTATTCCTGTCTGCACATCTAACAACTGATAATCAGTTAAGGGTGCTGTTCTGTATAATTTGGTGGTAAATTTTAGTCAATATGGCCTTAAAAATTACAATTCCCTCTATAAGAATAAATGATGATCAGACAGTAACCAAACAATACAAACAATATCCATTGGTGGTTGATGTGGTTTATTATTTAAACTTCTCAATATGTTTGGAATTCCTGTTCCTTATTGTACCTTTTCAATGCACCAAAGTTAAAGTGTTATTTTCAATTTCAACTGAGGTTATATTAAATTTGAACCTGCATCTGGCTTTTGCATTCAACTACTCTCTTGATTGACCTAAAGATTGCCAGTTTTCTACTAAAGTCCATGGTTCTTGCTTCACCAATAATAATTGGGTTCCATGATTATTAAAAGCCAAGCATGCTGAAAGTGGTGTTAAATGCCAACAATAGATGATCAATTATTTATTCTCAGTAAGGTGCTGTATTAAACCAATAAACTAGTTTAAATTAGTCATTTGATAAGTATGACAGTCCAGTTCCTATCATCCACAGTATCCTGATTTGATTGAATGTTTTGTATTTTATTATAAAGTGTATTTCATTGTGACCCAATTTTTTTTTAATCCTCGGTATAAGAATCAAATCATAATTAACAGCAAACCAACAATACATAAAAAAAATAATAGAAATGTGTCAGCAACCCAACAGTACATAAAAATGAAACATATCTATAAATAGAAATTGGTATGTTACATATGTCTAATTCTAAGTTGTTTATATCTAGACATTTAGTTTTGAATGAATTCAAATAAGACTACCAAATACTGCCAATTGATAAGAAGAATTAACCACAACCTTTTTGTTGGTGTCATCATTTCACTGATGATTTCAGATGTGTGATATGCAGAGTATGAAATCATTAATTAAATAATTCATTGTCCATTGCTATTGCTACAAAAATTTAATATGGAAACCATTGGGTAAGATTGATTTTAAATACAGTAAATGGGTCATTTTTTTTCATTTTGTTTTATTGTCTTTTTTTTTTACATTTTCCGCATGATTTTTTTCATTTTAATTATCTAGGATTTTTGGAAAGTAATCTTCAGATGCAGAGAAAATAATTATTTTAAACCTTAATCCAGGATTCATATAAATAAATAACTTACAGAGGGATTAAATGGATTGACTTTCCAGGTATTGTTATAATTCCCGATAAAAGCTGAGGAAACCTCCCAATGGAATTATAAATTATTCCTCAATTTACAGTCTAATCCTAATCACCTTATATAATCTTTTAATCTCCCCAGATAGAAAACAATTGATCTATTTCTAAAATATCCATGTATAACCTAATTAGAGAAATTGACAATTATTACATCATCAGATCTAAATGGGAAATATTTTACAAAATGGTATGTTAGTCCTAGAGGCATTCATACACCTGTATTCTCACAAATTATTCGTCATTATCAACTATTTGAGGGTGATTGTGTCTTAACCTGAAGGCAACTATAGCCTTCAATTTTATTTTTACATTACTTGCTGAGAAAGTGTAACTTATGTAAGTAGATGTTTTTATTTGTTAAACTTTTTTAATAACTAATATTTAAGATATTTTGCATTATTGCACTATGCGTTACACTACATTTAACAGCATCTAATAGTAGAAAATTATATTGAAAGTTTGCATATATTTTACCTTAATTTGATGCTATGACTATGAATGTGAGATAAATGAAATTCCTCATATCAATTTTGTAAAATGAAGGTTACCTTCAAAGGCAACTGTAATATCTCTTGTATTCAAAAATAATATAAACATTGACATGTTTCCTCAATAAAAATGTAATTTATTAAATTATTGAAAAATGTATACACATTTATTTTGAAGATATCATGTCGTCATTTTAAATCTATTCAAATGTTATAGCATTTGAAGCTATTATATGGATATGGAGAAAATGTGTGTGACTTTTCCATTCTTATATGAACAATTCGATTGTTACAGTCACATTTTTGTTAACTGATTATATCTCTGACTCTTCCGGGTCCAAATGCATTGTAAATACTTCTTGTTTTCTATAACAATCAGTATTTATCTCCAAGCACTCTTGACCATGGTGTAGGGTATTAATTTAGTAAGAATTTTTTTTTTATGTTATCAAATGGTTTTGGAATCTTTATCAAGTTAAACCATATGACAGTAAAATATTGAGGAGTTTTAAAAGTGGGAAAAGCTGAGAAAATTGGGAGAGCCATTATTTATGTACTCAGTCAACACCTGAACTTCAACATGGATGTTTGAAGCATGTAAATAAAAAGGTTAATGTCCAAAAGGAGGTCATCCAAGTACAATAAACTTTAGTTATTTTGTTTGTGCCTTAGATATTGAAAGTGTACTTCCATTCTGCCTCAATGTAGAATTTCCTGTTCATTGAATACATTTGAGTCTGTTTTTTTCTGTGAGAAATGAATCCCTACAGAATATAAGTCATGGAATTATTACACTAATTTATATTTCCTTTTTAAAAATAAAAACTAATACTCTACTGTAAATTATTCCCTGATACAGATATCTACCTGAAAAGAAATGAATTGTTGGTTTTTATTACTAAAATAAATGTATGGTAGCTAGGAAACACAATTTTTATTTTATCATTGTCATAAAATTTCTGTTAATTGAATATTCATGTCTTGTGGGCATTTTTTTATTTCTTAAGAATAGGAAAACACAGTTATGTCCCTTGGCTATGTATTTGTTTAAAAGAAATAGTAGTGATCTACAAATACAATACATCAAGCCTCGAGTTGTGATTTTAACAAATGAGTGGTATGTCAGAAAACAAATATTTGGAATTATAATCTGAAAAACCTGACTGGGCTGTTTGAAAAATACATAAACATTATCAACCAGTGGCATCTGTGCACATTCTATGGTCCCACTGTCAGTTTATTAGTCCCCTACCAATGAAGTCTAAGGGGACTTTAGGTTTGTACTCTGTCCGTCTGTCTCTGTGTCTGTCCATCCGTCAGTCCGGCAAATCAATTTTCCACACTTTTTTCTTTGTGCTTAAAGATATTGATTTGATATTTGGTGTATAGTTTTATCATAACAAGTTACAGATCAAGTTCAAATTTTGTTCCGGTCTTACAATTTTGTGCAGAGTTATGGTCCTTGAACTTAGAAAATTCACTCAAATAATCAGTTTTCTGCTCTTTTTTTTGTCATGCTTGAAGATATTGATTTGATGATTGGTATATAGTTTTATCATGACAAGTTACAGATCAAGTTTGAATTTTGTTCCGGTCTGATGATTTTATGCAGAGATGTGGACCTTGGACTTAAAAAATTCACCCAAATAATCAATTTCAAATTTGTTTGCGTCATGCTTGCAGATATTGACTTGATATTTGTATCAAGTTAGCATTTTGTTCCAGTATAATGATTTTTTAACCAGTAGGGGACTATGTATTGCCAGGCAATACTCACAGAATGCTTGTTACTACTTAGATTTTACGAGGACTCAAGATTTGTGCAAAAAGTATAATTAATACCTTATATAAACTTAGTTTTATATTGTTTTGCAACTAAAGCATTTTATTGATATACTTTTTTGAGTTGGACAAGCTGCTTTGTAGGAAAACATAAAACTGTTTAGTCTAACTTTAAAAAAGGAATTAATACCTTTCAGCTAAATAGAGAATATGTCTTTATACAATTTGTCAAAAAATCCTTTATATAGGAATGTAAATGTTTAAATTCTATTGTTAATATTTTGAGCACACAAAAGCTTTCTGTAAAAAAAATTCTTTAGATCAAACCAAGTTCATTGTCCAGTTCAAGAAAAATGTAAGAGTTAGGAGTGGCTATTTTGTTTAAGATACCCTATCTTTAGATATACATGCCGATGTGTGGTTTTTGTAATGATGAAGAAAATATGAAGTGTTCTGCCAATAAATATGAATATAAATAAAATAATTGATGTGTATCTAATTTCATCATTCAGCAGCCACAGATGTTTACTTTGTCATTTTATCATCTATGGAATTTTTTTATTTTTTAGATTGACGTCACAACTGCATCATGGGAAATAAACAGACAAAAAAGAAGTTATCGAAAGAAGATTTAGATTATCTAGTTAACAATACAAAGTTCACAAAAACGGAAATCAAAGACTGGTATAGAGGATTTATGGTAAAGTTTTATTTCCCAACATCAGCGGGGGTTGGGGGTGGGGGGTGGGGGTGTGAAATTAAAGACTGGTATAGAGGATTTAGGGTAAAGTTTTAACTAATACAATATTTCCCAACATCTGGGGGGTTTCAGACTGGTATAGAGGGTTTATCTTTAAGTTTTAACTGATACATGTACAGCAAACATACAATTAATAGAAGTTGAAACATAGAAAGTGACAAAACAATTCATAAAACAAAACTCCCACTTGAATTGTAACATTTAGGGGAATCAAGTGCCCCAAAGATCAAATTATTCCTGTTCTACGTAACTTACAACCAAACTGAATAGAGTCATTGCTATAGATATCAAACCACTCTTTGGCCTAAGAATGATCTAAACTACCATGGTACTACCTTATTCAAGCATTTTGACAGGTTATATACACCTATGACAATTGAAATCTTAAACTTGAGAATTAACCAATCTTTATAGAACTGAAGACTCAGTTCTTTATTTTTGACATGGTGTGATGCAGGTCAAGATACAGTATTGGCCTTGATTGTTTAAAAAAATGTAGAAATGAATGTTTTTCTAATAGTTTTAGGTTGTTTCACTTTTTTACCTTAAAGTTATAATTTTCCATAACTTTTAATGACTCAGTTCCAGCATGGAAAACAAAATTAGGATTTTGGGATAAATGGTTTAATTGTAGAATATAGAAACATCATCTGCACTATATGCCAAAGTGTCAGACATGATTATAGCTTTAAGACTCTTTGTTATTGATTAAATCTATACATAATGATCAAAGTTACCAGAGATTAAGAGTTTTCATTTTGAATCTTAGTGTTATGTTCAAAGTATCAGACATCAGCAAGGTTTAATCTGAAGATTTTGTTACATAAACTCATGGTTTTCATTTATAATGGGTACTTGTTACAGCAGTTTACAATTCTAAAAAAGCCATACTTAAGTTATTTTAGGGTTTGTAAAAATCATTTAATAACATAAAGTGCTTTATAAATTTCAATAGATATTTGGTTACCAAAAGTCAATTTGCCAATTACCAATTTGATTCTGTTTTTACACACTATTACCAAAAGTTGTTTCCTTTTGCCAATTGTAGACCATTCTAAACCAGACTATTGAAAAGCAGGATAAGTTTAAATTGATATATAAGCATTTTAACCATTTTTTTTTTTAAAATAACTATCTATATCAAAAGATTTTAGCATAACAAAAGATTAAATGAAATTAAAAGATTTGAAATATAACTTAAAGATTTCACACATTATGCACAGATAAATTTACTCTTTATGCTAGCTATTCATATAAACAAAATACAAATTTCCTGTAGGCTTGTATGGCGAATTTGTGACAACCATAAAATCAAGTACCAACTAAACCACTGTATATGAATGACAAATTCACAGGAAGTCGTTATTGATTTGAGGAGACATTTTAATCAGTTTGGTTCCTTGTGTGTTTATACAAATTTGGATTTTAATATGTAAAAAGGAGATTTGAGGTATACATCAATGAGTTAACATTCAAGTATGTGGATGCATTTAAGTTTGTAATTGGCATACATAACTCAAAAGAGACACGAACTTTAAAAAAAAAAAAATAAGCAACATTTTGCACTTCTGTGATGGTTTTATCCATACCTATGCCAATGCAACTTGTTTCCACTGAAACAACACAAAATTACATGCTGAGAAAGTAAAATCTTATTTGAAAATTATAAATGAAAAAAAAAAAATTGTTTTATGGTATTAAAGTAGTTAAATATTTTCGACATTTGAAAATGATAAAAGTACAGTACAAATGTATACTCCTGTTTGTTTTTCATACAGGTTTTTTTTTTTTAGGAAATGAACTTATCAGAAATCTTGTGACACACAGTAGTAAACACTTGAACAAGTTTGCATGTTAAACTCTTCTAAAGATTTTCTCCATATCAATTCTAGTTATCTCATGAATCATTATAGTGATTAATTATTGAGCGCAGAGAAGCTGGGATAAAAAGATAATTGTGGTTACACTATGTTAGTCACAAGTTTGATAAAGGCATTACCCCATATCTTTAGTTATTAGAAGTTAATATGAAACCTCTTTTATCTGGTCTAAGTTACAAGCAGTATTGGAATGAAATGTCAATATTGATGTTGTGTTTTATCTTTTTGTGCATAAGTCGGTTAAAAAGCATTTATGATTACATTTTCCTTCTGAAGATTTTTTCTTAGATTTGTGTTCATCACCTTGAGATAGACAATGTTGCAAAACAATCATTATTGGTAACAACTTCTTTTGCCAAGGGATGTTTAATATGTAAACTGTGAAGTCCCTATGTGAATGTTTCATCCAATTACAGAAAATTGAAACTGACATGGATTAGAGAAGGATAAGTTCTTGGAATATTAGGGGAAAGATTCCTATTTCATAAACTGTACATATACAGTTGATTATGAATACACTGTGCTTTAATATGTATTTGACTGTGGAGGGGGGGATTTTATTAGGAATAAAATGACCAATCTATATCTTTTGGTTTTCAAGATAAAAATCATCCAAAATTTGGGTACCTTTGCAGTTTATGAGAGATATAACCTGAACATAAAAAGATTTTGAAATCTGAATAAGGCTACTACTTAGACATGTTGTCATCTAAATATCTATCACAGATAGAGAAATAGACCATGTACACCCATACAACAGAAACAGGGTTAATTCTGATCAACTATTATATGAATAAAAGAAGATAATGGGTATACATCAATAAGACAGCAACCCTACAACAAAATAAACCTAAAGACATCTAGAGGTAAACATACTGTCACCAACATGAGGCATGATATTCTAATGCAATTTTTCTGTAATAATTTTCTGATCTATTTTTTTTAGACCTACACGTCGCCTGTAAAACTGCATTTGCCATATTCAAATCCCAAATTCACAGCTGCATCTTGTCAACTGCAGTTCTGTTGCTCCTTAAGTTTCTACAATAAATCAAGCCTTAAATTTTCCAAAGTCTAAATAATAGATCTACAAATTCCCTAAATGACAAATAAAAACAAAAAGATACAAGAAAATCAACCACTGTAATGGTTCCTGGGCAGGTTAATAATTTGGATGGGGTTAAACTTATCTTTTTTACATATTAACATGTTCTTTTTGTAATCATGATAAGTGAAAAAACAAAAAAATACATGAAATAACATATAATAGAAACAGAACTGGAAAAACCATTAACTCTTATGCAGAACAAAAACACATGTAAAACAATAATAAATAATACTGAATAAAAGAATGCTTGGGGCTACTGACAGCAAAGTAATTACTTAGTCTGCAGTTACTGACAGCACAAAGTACTTACTTGGCCTGCAGTTACTGACAGCACAAAGTAATTACTTAGTCTGCAGTTACTGACAGCACAAAGTTCTTACTTAGCCTGCAGTTACTGACAGCACAAAGTAATTACTTAGCCTGCAGTTACTGACAGCACAAAGTTATTACTTAGTCTGCAGTTACTGACAGCACAAAGTAATAACTTAACCTGCAGTTACTGACAGCACAAAGTTCTTACTTAGCCTGCAGTTACTGACAGTTCAAAGTACTTACTTAGCCTGCAGTTACTGACAACACAAAGTATTTACTTAGCTTGCAGTTACTGACAGCACAAAGTACTTGCTTAGTCTGCAGTTACTGACAGCACAATCTACTTACTTAGCCTGCAGTGACTGACAGCATAATGTACTTACTTAGCCTGCAGTGACTGACTGCACAAAGTATTTACTTATCCTGCAGTTACTGACAGCACAAAGTTCTTGCATAGTCTGCAGTTACTGCACAAAATACTTACTTAGCCTGCAGGTACTGACAGCAAAAAATACTCACTTAGCCTGTAGTTACTGACATCATAAATTACTTACTTAGCCTGCAGTTACTGACATCACAAAGAACTGTCATAGCCTGCAGTTACTGACAACACAAAGTACTTACTTAACCTGCAGTTACTGACATCACAAAGTACTAACATAGCCTGCACTTACTGACAGCACAAAGTACTTACTTAGTCTGTAGGTACTGACAGCACAAAGTACTGGCTTAGCCTGCAGTTACTGATAGCACAAATTACTTACTTAACCTGCAGTTACTGACTGCACAAAGTACTTACTTAGCATGCAGTTACTAACAGCACAAAGTACTTACTAAGCCTGCAGTTACTGACAGCACAAAGTAATTACTTAGTCTGCAGTTACTGACAGCACAAAGTAATTACTTAGTCTGCAGTTACTGACAGCAAAAAGTACTTACTTAGCCTGCAGTTACTGATAGCAGAAAGTACTTTCTTGGCCTACAGGTACTGACAGCACAAAATACTCTCTTAGACTACAGTAATTGACAACACAAAATGCTTACTTAATCTGCAGTTATTGACATCACAAAGTACTGGCTTAGCTAGAGAAATTTAATATTCATTATAATATTAACTTTGTAGAAAAAAATTATAATTGCAAATTAACTTATTTTATGTAAATTTCATACCATAGCAGATTTACCATGTGATCAAGACTTTCAGAGAATATAAAGGAATCAGGAATTATATCTTGTAGCAAGACAGTGACCATAAATGTTTTATGAAAAAACCTAGATGAAATTGATTGATATGGAAAGAGCCATTGGATTACAGTTTATTATTCAAAACAAGATATTCTTTTTTTAAAACAATACATTAATCTTATATTTATAATACACTTCCTGAATCACCAGACCAATGTTTGATAGCTAGTGGTTTGCTCCATCAGATAAATTCTTATTATACACACATTTTCGTTAGCTTGGTTGTACTAACAAAGAAACCTGATGTATTATTTAATCAACTTCAGACAGAATAGATATACGAAAATGGAATATATCAATTATTCCTAGGAAACTCATTAAAAGCCACAACACAAAAGGTTTTTGTCAAACATTTTTTAAACCAAATTGAAAAGAGTGACAGAGTTCCCGGACATAACATTGCAACCAAAACCAATTTCCTTGCAACTGGTCAATTTGAATTAAATATAATCTAGAGCTGTTTTAACAATCATTGGGAACAAATATCAAGAAACTTAATTAGCTTGTGTATGGTTTCTCTCGTAAAATTGGTTGACATTTATCTGTCCCATGTAAACATGGTATGCTCTAACTTGAGGTTTCTTTGACATTTATTGGGGTTTGAGGAGCATGACTTAAAAGTAAGAAAAGGCAAACAAATATCATTTGAAAGACTTTGTTGGAATTAAAATCAGAATTACAATTTCTAAACTTTCAAATAAAGCGTTAGGAATTTAGATTGGTCTGACCCACAAAAACAGTGATTCATTTCTCAAAAAATCTTACAGGAAAAAAACTTATAAGTCATGAACATTTCAGTTTAACTTATGACAAATTAATTTTTGTCGTAAGATTATTTGTGAAAATAAATATAAGGATAGGTTTATCTTCTCATTTAAAGCAAAATCTAGTAGGATCTCATGAATTTGCCTTATTCAAACTTAAAGATTTGTTATCACATTGACATTCTAGCTGAAAGCTTCCATTTTTAATCTAAAATATTTGTTATGTTTTTCAGACTGTCTGCATAATAGCATAAATGTGTGATTCATTCATTGTTTTTCATGATTTGAAATTTAAAACAAAATTCAGTAGGATATATGGATTCACAGACAAGTTGATCAGATTGTGTGCATAGTTTCAAGGTTTTAGAAAATCTTGACTTGTCAGCAGAAGGCATCAAATTTAATAATAATGGCAGATAATTTGTTGGAAAGATGGAAAGGTTCACTCTTTTTCATCTTTTATGTATCCCTTTTAAGGTTTTGAGGTATTTAAGCTTTTTAATCAGACACAAATTTGACTATGTCAACACAGATTGGGGCTATTGGAACAATGCATTTTTTATCTTTTATTTAGCCGTGAATTTTTCAAAGAGAAAAAACTATACATATTGCACTTATCAAGTCTTGAAAATTAAAAAGAAATTGATCAAGGAAATTCTCGAAAAGTCAATAATAAATAAATCCCTCAATTTTTGTATTAAGGTCAAAAATGACTACCAAAAAGCAGTCTGAAACTATTGATGTTTAAGGTTTAAATTTAATTATTTCTATCATTTCAGCGAGACTGTCCAGAAGGTCTTCTTTCAAAGAACAAATTTTTAGAAGTGTACACAACATTCTTTCCGACAGGAAATCCAGACAAATTTTGTGAACATGTGTTTAGATCATTTGACGAAGACAACAGTGGTAAAATTGACTTCAAAGAATTTTTGTTAGCAATTAATATAACATCAGGTGGTAACCCACAGGATAAATTGAATTGGGCCTTTAGTATGTATGATATAGATGGGAATGGGACCATTGAGAAGAAAGAGATGGTAGAAATAATTGCTGTAAGTATGATAGCCTTAGAATTAAGCAATATAGTCTTAAAACTGAAGAAAAGAATTTCTGGTTGATGTAAGTCATCACATCCATGCAAACTCACGTTAAAAATAAAATGAAAGAAAATCATATTTAAATTAAAATGAACACCTGTCCTTGATTTCAAGATATGCCTGTTGTAGCATATTGAAATTGTTTCAAGAATAAAGCAGAATTAGAATTGTCTTAAATCAGATGGTTAAACTCTTGTAACTCTCAATCAACACACAGAAATAATTTCAAAATAAAGAAGTATCTTTCTTTCGCCAATTCAAATGATCCATACAAGTTTCATGAAATTTGATCTCAGAATTATCTAACTTTGTACATTGTGTTGACATATGGAGAGACAGGCAATGGCATACCATAATATGTCCAATCCATAAAAGGCATAAAAAATCCTATTAAAGGATTATATTCAATTTTCAATTTTCAAAAAAATTGTCTGCAAAATTTCTCAACCAACTGATTATATTTATTAAGAATCAAATGTCCTCTGTGACGTCTGGCTACTCTATAAGGGGCATACAACTTGTTAGTTTTGAGGAAATCCTCACATGATATCTACCTTTTAAGTATAAGTCGAATATCAAAATCCACCCTGTAGATATTTTTTTGTAATTACAAATTGTTCTTTTATTTTGTTGCCCATAATACAGTTAAAAAATTGCTTATGTATGACAAAACTTACAGAAACCAATTTGATCAGCGAGATATGAATAACCCAGTTTATTAAAGTCAACAAATCTAGATTTTTATTTGTATGTGTCAGTACCTATCTCCTGAATGATTAATTTTACCACTTTGTGTGTTATTTACAGAAACAAAAATGGCTAAAGTTTCTGATGCTGATGATGATATCTTATTTTATAATTTAAGACATTGTATTATAAATCATGACACTGTGTACTGTGTCTGATTTGTTTGTATAAGACCAAGAAAACTTATTTACATCTTACTGATAATGTGTCAAGAACCACAGATAGATAATAACTAGATTGGTTTTATATGAGTATTGAGGCCATCAGGGTTACATTTTTTATTGGTGGATGGGTCAATAATGACCATAACTGTCTCTTGCAGAGATTAAATTTACTTAAACTACTTCCTCGAAGGTTTGTTTTGTTAGGCATTGAATATGGTTGCTTGATTGTCAAGTTCATTTGATGGATAAACTTAAGCTTCCATTCCATTGGCAAGTCCTCATAAGGATTGTGAAAGGAAAGATCTAATTCATATGCTAGTGTTGTAAGAAACTAACATTTCCTAAATTCATGAATAAAAGGAGAAGGTACATTTGTGTGTTTTTAAAATTATCAAAAAATAAAAATGACACCATTTTTAGATACAATATTTAAAAGACTTAAAGAAAACAAATACCTTCCTTGCTCTGACAATTTTTGATATATTCTTTTAAAAGAGGTACTTTTAACGATTCACAGTATTCTTGTCATTCCTTTTAAAGATCATTTAGTCTGGCTGATTTTTAAAATCATTTAGATTTTAGAACATTGCCAATTTTTACATAATTTCTGGGAAAATTTCCTATAGTGTACTACCATATTTGAATGAAATAATTATTTCCAAAAAACTATACACTATGAAATCATTACAGTCTAAAACAATTGTACATTTTAAAATCTTTGCTGTCTAAAACTCTGTACATTATAAAATTATTACTGTAAAAATGGCTGTACATTATTAAATCAGTACTGTTAAAAAAATCATACATTATAAAATCAGTGCTGTACAAAACTCATACATTATAAAAATCAGTGCTGTTCAAAACTTGTACATCATAAAATCAGTGCTGTTCAAAACTTGCACATCATAAAAATCAGTGCTATTCAAATCTTGTACATTATAAAATCTGTGCTTTTCAAAACTTGCACATTATAAAATCACTTCTGTCCAAAAACACTGTACATTTTGAAATTATTCCTGACCAAAAAGATATATAAAATATATCTGCTTTAGGATGAAAGAGTAAAACTCTTCTAAACTGAACTGTTTGGAACTGAAATGTTTCTTTGAAAAAGATGTATGTTCAGTTTGCACAGGTTAACATTACTAAATATTATTAGTATGTTCTGATACAAGATAAAAAACAATATTAGGAGATGTTGTGTGATTGCCAATTAAACAACTACCCACCAGAGTTCAAATGAAGTAGCTGTTAGCAATAATAGGCAACCTTATGGCCTTCAACAATGAGAAAAACCCATACCGTATAGTCTTCTATAAAAGGCCCCGACATGAAAAATGTGAAAAAATAGAAACAAGAAAACCAAGGACCTAATTTATACAAAACAATTAATGAAAAAAAATATGATAGACATGAACCCACTTGAACCACTGAACTACAGGCTCCTGACTTGGGACAGGCACATAAAGAATGTGGGTGGTAAAACATGCTTGTGATTGCTTAACCCTCTTCTCAATAGTTCACTTTAGACAGGTTATCATTTATGCAGGGCCTAGATCTCTGTATAAATGAGTAAAAAGTTAATTTGGAGTACATGACAATGAGACAGCAACCCAACAATATATTTAAAACAGAAGACATTCAAAGGTAGCTTACAGTCAACAATATATATTTTTCAAATAAAAATTCAGTACGGTATGTCTAGACTCTAGAACAATATTCTATATTTGACTTCTAATTTGAAATGAAAAATGACTGTCTATTTACAGGCCATATACCATATGCTTGGATCAAACTTGTCAAATAACGAACTAGATACGCCAGCTGAGCGCACAGAAAAAATATTTGAAAAAATGGACATAAACAATGATGGTGTTCTAACAAAGAAAGAGTTCGTAGAAGGATGCATGAAAGATCAATTTCTCTATCAGATGTTAACAGCAGACGCTTGCCAGAATGAAGGATGAAACATTTTTTAAGAGAAATGTTTGCTTAAAATATTCCAGATCATTAAAATGTTTTTTAACTTTTTATTGAGAATCAGTGCAATCATTTTAGGATGGAAGCAAATTGACTTCTGACATACAAATGTACCAAGATGGAAAACAAACACAGCAGTGATATTCCGTAACAAATATTTGTAATGATTCTTTTACTATTTGCATAAAAAAGATAATCAAGTATTATTCTGACTAATTGAAGACCATTGTTTGTATTTAATTGATCCACACCAGAAGTATATAATGTGATTGTCATTCTGTGTAAATATTGATAGTTCATTTTCCATCAGTTTAAAATGTCGGAGTTCCATTCTCATCATTTTAATTACCACACTTTGTTTTATAAATATTTCTATTTGCTTTTAACTTTGTATAAGCCTTTCACATTATTTTTATTTTATGTTTATACTTGTTATTACTTCATTACAATTAAAATATCATCCATTTAAATCGTTGTATATAAAATAAAGTGGAATCAAGGTCTGATAAGGTCTGAAGTCGTGAGGTCATTTTCATGTAGATTTGTCAATATGGTATAGATACTATATAAAAGGTGAATAAGGTTTTCAGAATTGTTTTGATTTATTCAATTCATTTTTTTGCTTTCATGTATAAAAAGGATGTTAGATCAGAGCAATTTTTTCCATTCAACAGCCATCAATCAATCATTTTCTGGTTTGTTTTTTTTATTTTTATGCACTTCAAAATAAATTGTTGAAAGAATTATTTATTATATATTCCTTACACCAAATTTTCTGGAATTTATCTAAATATGGAAACAAAAGTTAAATTCATTGTAAAGTAAAATTCACAGAATTTTTTTTCAAAATACTAGTAAATAAAGGGTGAAATTAAGAAATGTATTTTTGGCACCTGTTCATTGAAAAGTGCTAAAATATTAATATATATAAAGCTTTATGACACCTCTCCATTTCAAATGAAAATCCATCAACTAGAAATCAGATTATTAAACCAAGAAAAAAAAGTAGAAAAATGAAAATAAGACTTTAAATTTGGTGTGTCTGAAGCACTTTTCTGGATTAACCTTCAGAAACGCTCAAACAAACAAAAATTGAAAGCCAAGGATCTATCACTACTTGAAATGTGAGAAACTTATAAACAAGAGAAAATGTTTTGCAGAAACAGATTAAGAGAAACAGTAAATAGAACAAAATTATCATCAAAATAAGATTTTCAAATAAGTGGTCATTACGGTCGAAATCTTTAGTTTTACCTCTTATTGGAGTTATTTCCCTTGAATGAGGATTTTTACCCTTTTTTGGGGCATTTCATTTGACAGTTTCATCCACAAAATCCATCATTATGAAATTCTGGATCTTGACTAGATTCAACTTGTGAAAGTTATTTTGTTTCGATTCAGGACGTTGTTAGAACTGATTAATCTCGTGTATTTGACAGTGCTACAATGTTATAAAGTAATTTGTTAATGTAGTTTATCCTTGGAGAAGTTTTGTTACAAATAATGCTGTTAGAATTGTTATCTTTACTGACCAATCAATATAGCGAGTTGTCACACTTTTTATGGCATTAATGGTAAAAGCATGGAAAAACTCTTATTTTTGAAATGACAAGAGCGTAAATGAACATCACAAATGTATTTAATGTAAATATTGTAATCTTCGTCATTATTGTTCAAGCAGGAAAACTGTTGGGCATAGAGTTACAAGAAATACAGATTAAAACATGGGAATTATGCAACATGTTCAGTTCTTAGAAAGAAAATAGACATGATTGATGGTGATTAGTTAGCTGTAACTGGTATTTTCTGTATGAGCTGACAGTAAATAAATTGATTGAGATTTTTTTTAAAACATGAATTCTAAAATGGTTTAATTTTCAAATACAGTTCACTTCGGTTATGTTCAACACAAACAAACATAAACGTTGCTACGTGAAGACAGCATTGGCAATATTTCAATTAGTTTAGATTGGTTTGGATTAATTTGGTTATAACAGTCTAGCTCACCTTTTTTTGTGTTGTCTTTTGTTTGACAAGGTTGCAAAGGTAAGGCTTAATTGTTCTATTTCTGGCAGTATCAACAATTTGTTGAAGTTTGTGTTAAGGTCAGTTTAAGGAGATTAACTAATGCAAAGTTAAGGATATTTGGTATGCAGTTGAAGAAGCATTTGCACATCTCATTTTCATAGAGGTTATTTGGTCACACTCCCTCAGTCATAGTCTATATACTAGTTCCAAGATACGGTAGTCATATATGTCAAAATGACTTTCATCACCACGTAACAAAAATGAAGGCATTGTCACTTCTAACACATGTTGAGTGAATGGGTGAAAAAGTTTGATGCTCATAATACTGCACAAAATATTTGTGAAATTAAAAACTTATTAGTTGGTCACCCTCTCTTCAGTTGTATGGGACATTGAGATTACATTCCTACGGAACATAAATTATTTCTAGACTACCTTGCAGAATGACGATCCTGAAGATGCTTGAAACTTTAATAGGTGCAGGGATACAGGTGTGCCGACTTCTATCTGGTAAATGACGTCATAAGAGAGTGGGCAATTGACGATCTTTTCCAGTGATTTCGAGAAATAGCCTATTGACTTAAACTTGTGCTTAGTTTAAATGTTTGTGTTAATTTGTGATTAGGTCAGTTTGACAGTAACCACTAATGGTAAGTTAATGATATTTGGTACGAAGTTGTATAAACATTAGCACATCTCATACATTTGAGATTATTTGGCCCTCCAAACCCAGTCATGATCTATTGTCTGGATGTTTTGCATAGTTTGTATCACCCCCTCTTTTAAAGTATTGCCATTTTAATATCAACATTTGCATCCTATCAAAATTATATTCAGATGAGCCATATTTCTGTCAACAGTTTATGTTTTTGTCTTTTTTTATAAAGCTTTGGTAATAGAAATACAAAGAATAGGATAAAACTATTGTCTATCATCAGTATAAAAGAAGATGTGGGGTATAAATCAGTAAGCTATTAATGGATCCTGCATTACCAGGGATAACAAAATGTGACATGATACAAAAGAGGTGTAAACTAATGATTTCAAACAACAACAAAAACAATTATGGCAGACAACAACCACTGGACCATGAACCTTGTTTTAAACAGGTCAGGTAAGCCTTTACCATTTCCAGAGACATATATAAACATGTGTATATATGTCTCTGCCATTTCCAACCTCCTCTGAATAAAGGTAAACTCTTGACAATTGGATCTTGATTGGTGGGATTGACCTTGTCATTATATTTCAGAACTATATTCTGCAGTTTCATCAATGTAAGAACCTCTAATTGGCCAATGCAGCCTCAACCAATTTAAAATGATGTAAATAAAGGTTGGATTGTTTTTTTAAACAATCGGCATTCCTATGGGAATCATCTACTCTTCTTCCCAACCTGTTCATTTATTCTTATGAGGTAGATTTTATACATAAGCTTAATCATTTATCGGTTTATAAATTATAAAGAAACAAGGTTTCAACTCCCTCAGGCAAAGTTGACCTTTATAGATGGATTTGGCTATTTTTTAATGTATTTTTTTTGTCATATGCTCTTCAACTGTTTCGGTTCTTATACACAGTCGGCTTTCAAATATTATACTTTGAGCATTCCTGATGAAGATAAATCCAGAAAAGCGCTTTGGACCCATGAAATTATTCAACGTGTTCGTTTTCATTTTTTTTCTTAAGAAAATGAAAAGAAATTAGCTTTATCATTTACTGACTTTACACTTTCTGTTATATAGATTATGGCCTCTCACTGAATAATTCAAAGTATTGTGACTATGTTGATGATACCAAATTCTCCAAATCTGTTAAAATACATACAACCTAAGTATATTTCCTCTTGCAATAGTATAAGCACATAAGACGTCGCTACCCTTTACACTAGCATTCATTATTCTGAACTTAATGACAGATTGAAGGCATTCTTCCAACTTTTTTACACAAAAAGAATGACCAACGTAGATACAAATATCTTTTAAGTTTTCATACTTTGTAAAACAAAATCATGATTCAAACGACAAATTCCCTGAAACGGGTATCCTCAAGAGGTTGATATTTCTATGGGAACCAGCTGTGCTCCTCTTCTTGACGACTTGTTCCTTTATTCATAAGATGCAGACAATACAGGAGAATTAAATTTTCTCATTGTGAACTTACCATTTCTAGCAGGATCGGCATATAAATGTTACAATAAGGAGACGTATGATTGCCAATGAGACAACTATCCATCAGAGACCAAATGCATGGGGATGAAAACACTAAAAAATGCCTTCTCAAATATATATCTTCCTGTTGATACGATATTCCAGGTCTTGAGTTTTCTATCATGATTAACCTTTATAGAGGTTTGCTGATTGCAAGGCGCCATTGAATCAAGGATTTCCTAATGGTTAAGTTGAAATCATCCCATCGAAAGTTTTATTGATGCAATCATGAACGCTATGAAATAACTCAAATCATGGATCATGGATGTGTTCCACTTGTATCCACAATCTCTCATATGGCAGAAACTTGGTTGGATTCATCAATCACAAACAGCCAAGTATTCCAACCAGAATACCTGTATAACCTCTACTGCAATGATAGAAAGGGAAATAAAACTGGGGGTGGATTCCTTAAAGCCATAAACAACAAGTTCCTAAGCACTGAAATACCAGAACTAGACACTAACTGTGAAATAATATGGGCACGAATACAACAAAAAGGCATAAAAGACCTTTACATATGCTCATATTATAAACATCTTACAAAGAGAGCCTCGCTCCCTCTATGAATTTGAAACAGCTGTCAATAGAGGCTCACAGAATAATACATGCGTAATCAACGGGGGTGACTAAAAACCGTACGCTAAGGAAAACAACATGCAGAACAACATTACCAGCTTAAAGATATTATTGATGACAATGGATTAACTCAATTAGTACAAAAGCCAACCAGAAATAAAAACACACTGGACCTTATTACCAACTGCCCAAGTAAAATGATGAGACTAGATGTCATACTAGGAAAATTAGACCATCATATCATATATGCAGAAATGAAAACCAATCCGAAGATAAACAACCAAAAGCCAAGACAAATCCAACTGTATAGAATAGATAAATGGGACAGCATAAAAGAAGATATGAATTTGCTTTAAATTAAAGTTCAAAAAGGAAGCCTGAACAAAAAGACAAACATAAGTATACTTTGGAATATGTTCAAGAAAGGCCTGGAAATAGTACTAACCAGGATATACTTTCCAAAATATGCAAGAACTAGGACAAAATACTATGGATAACCCAGGAAATCACAGTACTTATAAGCCGAAGAGACCGAGCCTACAAAAAGAAAAAGAAATCAAACCATGCTTCTGATATTAAAAGATTTAAACAACGGAAACAAACCATCCAAGGAAAACGAAGACAAGTCCGTTGGAAATATATAGAGAACACAA